TATCGTGGGAATTAATTAATGGGTGTAATTGCGGAGATCGCGGACCTCTCGCGCGAGTCAATCGAGTGCACACCATCACCACCACCACTACAACAACCGCGCCAATTCGAACCATTATTACGCACACACACGCATCATCGACGTAACGATCGCAAACGAAATAAAACTTACAAGTATTAAAATCAATTCAGATTGTTTAACAACGACAAATCAAAAGTAGACTCACGTGATCCGAAGTTTGGGTACTGCTGGATGTCAATATATAAACAAAAAAAGAAGAAGATCGATCGTACTCACCTGAAACATTAGAGGAGAAACATGAATTAGATTATGAAATGCAACGATTACAATCAAATTAACAAGTAAACGATAGTTGTTTCTTACCCGAATGCAATTTAGAAACTAATTAACTTAAGGTGAAGGTGTGAAATGGTGTTAACTAAACTGAGGCAAATCACAACTGACAGTCGATACGTAACAATTACCAACCGAATTAATCGTTTTTTAGGGAACAAAAGGGAAGCGATTGTGTGTGTGTGGTCGTGGCCTACGCAAACAATAAGAATATAATTATTGTACGTATGTATGTGAATAATTGGGGAACAGGAGGATACGTTTGTAATCAACGTCTTCGATGAATAAACATGAGGATGTCATTAGGCGTAACGAACGCATAGACGACGATGCATACAGATAGATAGTGGTTACGGCGGACGGACGCACGTTGCGTAACTTTAAATATACTACGTCTACGAAAGATATAAAAAAAAGGAATATTAAAGTTGAAAGATGTTAGGTAACGTTGGAAGGAATGTAAATGAGCATTCATTAAATCCTCTTTTCCTATTTTCCCCCCCGAATATTCAAAGATCGATGGATATAAACATCTCGAGTCAAACGACCAAAAAGAAAACGAGTCAGTCAGTGCACTCTTAATTTATGCGTGACCTAAAACCTGGAACATCCAACGAACCAACCACACTAACGCTCAACGAATACACACATACAGAGAGAGGAGACGGCATAAATATACGTTAAAACCGAACATTCCAGTTTTCCGTCCGTCCGTCCGTCCGTCCGTCCGTCCCTCCATTAGAAAGTACATGTGTCCAATTAAGAAAAAAAAACGAATAATTAACGAATAAGAAGAACAAGCGCGGGAATAGAGAGGAAATGTATATTTTCGAAACTTGAAGAAATTACAACATCAAACGAAAATAAAAGAAATCGCAAGTGAGGAATCGTTTTGCGCGTGGAGAATAACGATTTCCACTTCTTTCTTTCCAATTCGAATTCATTTAGATTTCGAGAGAAACAAAAACATTTTATCGAATCAAGAACTTTCGTGCACAAATCGTCGTTACCATTTTCTCTCATCTGTCACCGTAGTCATGCGAATTAATGATCGTTTGTTGCCATGGAGTTTGTTATTCGTGCAGAAGTTACCAATCGAATCACAGAGAACCGGGCGACGTGATTAATTTGCTTCAATTAGTAAGAGGAAAAAAAAAACAAATGACATAACAACAACAAATTGAAATAATAATAATAAATAACTAGGGGAAGTTATGGGTTTGTTTTTCGCGTGGGGTTATTTTAATTGATTCGTTTAATTATTCATACGCTCGTCTCGTCTCTCATTTGGGAAGAGAAGCTACGTGACAGGATGGCTGTGATTTTCATTTGTAATTAATAATAATAATAATCAAACAGAAAGAATAAACGATCATTAATCAAACGAATACGAATAGAAATAGTTTATAAATAATACATTTGTAGTCGAAATTAATGTCACGAGTCGAACGGAAATATGTGCACAGCACTGCACTAGGTAAACGAAAAGAAGAAGAAAAAAAGGCATCAAGGTGCAGTCGCCCTTGAACTTTGGAGAAAGTAGAAATATTGAACACAAACAATTTATGTTGGTAACAAGAAATAAATAATAAGAAATGTTAATAGTAAAATGGTGATAAAATAATTACCAACTGAAATGAATGAACGATTGGTGAATGATGATTAGAAGGAGGAAACCGTAAAAAGAGGAGAACGATTAATATTCAATTTCGCTGCTGTGAAACGAACATGTGCTTTGCAGCAAGCGGAAACGGATTATACAAAGAAGAAAGACGATGATGATTATGATTATTTTCAACAATTTCAATGATTGAAAATAGTGTCGGATTTCGGAATTGCAATCGCTTCGCGTTACGTGAAATGGAGAGAAGTGCGTGTAATGATGATGATGATGATAATTAATTCGATTCTCCTTTCGTTACCAACCTGAGAATCGCCACCCCATGCGAAACCGGATACGATCATAGCGTAAGCGCGAAATAGGAAGACAAACGAAACAACAACAACAACAACAAAAAACAGATAAAGAAGAAGTGAATGTGTAACGAGGGCGGTGGCGGGCGGAAGAGCGAGAAGAGTTCGCTCAACGAGAGTAAACGTTCCCGCAGAAAACTTAATCTACATGACGGCTCCGATTACCGCATGCACACATTACTTAAGAAGAATATACAGTGTGATCCATTTATTTGGATCGCGTTTCGTCAGACTATAAAGAAACATTGTCCATTCAGTTGCCACTTTCTCCTATTTCGAATCAAAGGGCGGCTGCTCTCTCGCTTTCTTTGAATTCCTTTCGGTCAAATTTATTAATGTTATTGTTAACGATCGATTCGATCACTCGTGTTTTCGCGAGATGACGTAACGCGGAATGCGCGCGCACGCTGCAACAGAAACATAAGGAACACACAGCATACTATATGTACGAGAGGGAGAGAGTGAGCGAGAGTGTTAGAGGCGAGTGGAAGGGAGGGAATCAGCAGGGTGGCCAACTGTCCTTGACCCCGGCAGCTTCCGCTCCGAGAGCGGCCCAGCAGCTCACTAACCCGCTTACATTCCTTCACATTAGGGCAAAACGTTTCACAAATTACTCTCTCTCTCTCCCTCGCACCCCAACAAACATCTTCTCTTCTCTCCTTCGTAACACTCAATCATCCCCCACCCCCATCCCATTCTCGCACTCATCTTTTTCTTGCATATCCATGCCAACAAGAACAATGGTAACAACGAGAAACAAAAACAAAAGAGGATTTATCAATTACAAGAAGAAAGACAACTGGATTTTACCAATCGTCTAATAGGACTCTGCTCGTAAATCTCGTTTTCATTAAGCGTTCGCATTCACTCTCTCATCCCTTTCATTTATTTGTTGCTCTATTCTAAACGCACGCCCCGGGGAAATAAGGGATTCACAAGAAGAAGAGAGAAAAAAAAGTACGCACGCACGCACCCACCCACACAAATACGGTCACATCTCCGAGGACGTAATTGAATCTGGGGGAATTCAATTCGCAACGGTTGCAGCAGGCAATTAAATAAACAGCGTTATTTTAAATCTAATTTGAACGCGCGACGACTACGGCGGCACGCACCCAGGTGGTGGGTGGGTGGTTTGGTTTGGTTGTCCTCTTGTCCCGACATAAAAAAAATAATAATCCCCCATCCAAATTTATGCCACCATAAAAAAATGAAAAAAAAGAGATGTCGTTAAATTTCGAAAATTTTAATGGGAATATTTAATGTACTCTTCTAAACATATATATTTTATTGAACGCGTTTATCTCCTTCGCTTTCTTCAAATATTTTATTACAATATTTACGAAGATTAAGAATTCATAGCCGAAAATCGATACTGAAATACGCGCGAACAAACAAGCAATAAATCACGAACACCTTGGATTAATCATAAACATGTCTCTATGTCATTTCTCATAGCTATATAGTTTTTTTTTAGTTAACTTGTTACTTGGCAAGTGTGGAGCGATTAGACGAGTTACGCAAAGCTAGCGTGTATTAATTAAAAGTGCCGCACGATTATGAAAGCAATCGAGGAATGCGGTAACTAACGCGAACGATGACTCATTTGGTTCAACTTAATTAAGCTTCATTTACATTCGAACTAATCCAAAAGCATTCAAAACTATTCATATGGTTACTAATGCTGGCAGGCAGAGAGATGTTTTGGAAACATCGTGTGTATAGTTATAGTGTAGAGGAGGTAGTAGCATCATATCCTTAGTGACCCACATAATTGTCTCTCTCGACTCTCCTCCTCTTCTCATTCCTCTCTGCGCATCTGATGCGATAAAGAGTGAGAGGATAAAATGGGAATAAGGAACAAGGATGTATTTGTATCGTACTGTTGTGTGAATCGTATCGATTATTACGCAATTTTGGGTCGTCTTTTTATGCAATACTATTATTATATATTAGCTAGATTTGTCATGTTGTTTCACCTACACTATATATATGTGTGTGAATTTCGTTCGTAGTAGTAGTGTGCGTCAAAGTGCAGGTAGTAGTAGTAGTAGTATAGGTAACATGTAGAGTGTGTAGGTGAAACACAAAATGTTTTCATGTTGACAGCTCGCGGAGGGCAAACTGTAGGTCGAAGACCTACGCCAATCTTCGGTTGGAGGTTCAGGGAATCGGGCGAAATTAGTTCTGATTCGATTTTATGAAGCGGAGGAGATTAAAAACGAATGCGAATTGGTGTGTGCACGAACCACGAATTCGTAAAGGCACACGCGCCATATTGAGTGGAGCAGCAGCAGGAGGAGGAGGAGGAGGAAGAGGACGACGACGACATACATTCTCAACTCGGAACGCCGGTTCACTCTTTTGCTGCTTCTTCGATTCTTATTATTTTATTCACATTCGATTTAGATTTTGTTTCTTTTTTTTTTGCTTGCTTTTGAATGATCCTAGTAGATCATGGAACGAAAGAGTGCGCGTACGATCTCTTTTTTTTTCTTTCTTTTTGTTGAACGTAAAGTAAATGAGAGGAAGGAGAAGGAAGGTGCAAAGAAATGAGAATGCATGAATGAATGCACGAGTGAATGGGTGAGCGAGTGAGTGAGTGAGCGAAATCATTGCACATCACTCACTCAATATATATGTTGTATATAATATATATATTATTTACTTACATGTCGCAGAGGCCAGAGACAATCCTATTGCAAGCACAACGCCGAGTTGAAATGTTTGTATCGCCATAAATGAGTAATCATTTGGAGACTACTACTGTGTGCAATTTGAATTCACCACCGCAACCACCACCACCACCACCAGCACCACCTCACAACAATCTCTACACTCGTCTCTGTCTTCTTTCTATCTTTCTTTCTTAGTTCTCTCGGAACGATCCTTTTCCTGAGCCGCCTCGCGCGAAACAACGCTCGCGCTCTTCTCTCCTCTCTCTCGAGACAGACCCACTCCCTCAAAGACTAGAAAGAAGACTACTTCTTCTTCTTCGTCCTCCTCCTGCTGTTGTTGCTCCTCCTCCTTCTTCTTTCTACTCCTACTCCTTCTTTCTTTCTTCCTTCCTTCCTTCCTTACTTCTTCACGAACGGTTGTGTTGCTTGCTGGTGCGCCTCGTATCTAAGGCTCTCCTATGTTTACGTCCGTTCCTATCCTGACCTTTCCCGCTGCTTTCCTGCTCTTCTCTCGCAGATTCTTACATAAATCCGAGCCGCAATAATAACAACAAACAATAATCAACGTAAACTTCCACAAACCAAGTGAATACGAGGCACGAAAAGGGGGAGAACACACACACACACGCACACTCGATCGTCCTGCAGCACTGCCACAACTGATTCGTCGTCGTTCCCTTCCTTTTGCCTGCTGCTGCTAGCTCTATTCCTGCTGCCTGCCTGCCTGCTTCTCTCTACCTACACACCATCATCATCATCATCACATCACCACCACAACCACTCATTCAGCGGCGTTTCGGTGCTCTCGCCATAGGCGTCTCCTTCAACTGCAACACAAAAACATCGACGCATTCATTAAACCAATACGAACACAACCAACATCCAATAAACGTGAACCTTATATAATCCTGCCAGTAATCGCTCAACGTCCAATTCGCTCGTACGCCCATCCGATCTCTCTAATCCAATATCGTTGTCGTTCGTTACGCCACTGGTCTTGGAGGCATGCGCATCCAGTCAGCTGTCACCGTTGACAACATAACAATCGGCTCCGCCTTCTTCTTCCGATCGCTCGGGTCGTTAGCGACTAGAGGTGTATGTAACAATGGCAACGGTTTGTTTGTTTGTGTGGTTGTCTTTCTTTCTTGTTCTTCTTTTTGGACTGCTGCCGACAGCCACCAACAGCGCCTACCTAGATCACCTCACCTCACCTCACCTCTACCGTTATCAATGGAAAACTTATGTATTTGCTCAGCGTCGAGCCACAATCAAAGCAAACTTGACCTAGGCTCTGCAGCTAAAGCAAATAAGAATTACAATAAAACTTCAACTAATTAAACCCTCTCACGTTCCTCTCTTTTATTATGAATATATATATATATTTATATTTAATATATGTATATGGACAAACTCTTGATTGCAAATTGTATGTTTTTTTTTATTTGGTTCTCATTCATTACTAATTTGTTAATGAAACCGAGTAAAACTAAAATATATTCTAGAGTGCGGACGGTCGGTCGGTCGGTCACGCAATTAAATCTTAAAAGTCTAAATCTTTTCTTATATTCGGAGGAGGAAGGATTTGTAGGGTGGATGATGGTTTCGGTGTGAGGTTTATGATCAAAAGGAGTTTTCTGTGTTCGTGCTACGAGGGTGGTCAAATTGGTAAATAAATTTATGCAAAATAAACGAAACGAAGATTAACGCAATCCTATCTCCTGCGATCCCTACGATGAGAACTCCTGTTCCTGGAGCGACGATCCCTGCTGGATTCGCTGCTCGAGGAGCGGCGACGACGACGTCTCCGATTGTTCCTCGAGGAGGAGCGCCTGAAAGTATAATACATTTTAATATAAATACAGTTACCATTATTATTATTTCTTTAAATGAGAATTATTATTACCTTCTAGAACGATCACTGGAGCTACTGCTGTAACTGCTGCTGCTACTGCTAGAGCTAGAACTACGCGAATTCTTCCTACTTTTTCTACTGCTAGGCACTTTCTTGTCCAGCTCCTGCAAAGCCTTCACCGTCTGCAGCAGCTTCTCCTTTTCCAGAGCATCGCGTTGCGCTTTCTTCGCCCTCTCCAGCATCTCGGCCTCCTCCTTCGCCTTACGCTGCTTCTCCATCATAACTTCCTCCTCTTCCTCGTCATCCTTTTTCTTCTTCATCTCGAGCATCTCCAATTCCATCTTCTTCTTGAGCAACAGAAGTTGCTCAGCGCGTCTCTTGAACTTCTCTGCCTCCGTCTCCTCGGACTTCTTCTCCGGCTCTTTGCTGTTCTCCTTGTCGCTGCGATCGCTTTCGGAATGCTTTCTTCTGCGATAGTCGTTGCTGCGTGAACGAGACCGACGTCGGTCGCGCCTGTCGCGACTCCTCGACCTCTTATCTCTTCTGCTATCTTTGTCCCTGGAACGTGACCTCTTCGGCGATCGTTTATACCTGTCGGTATCCCTTCCACCTCCTCCACCGCCACCGAAACCACCACGACGATTTCTCCTCGAATCCACATACCGATCACCTTCGCCGCGCCTATTATTCTTTCTATCAAATTCTCGATTGCGACCGTTTTTGAACTTATCCACACGCTTGTCGTTGGACTGATTGTGATGTTGCAGATCCTGTTCCGGCTTCTCAGCCTCGAACTTGTTCCGCTTGTTTGGTTCCTTGATGGTGGCGATGGTCAGAGCTATGGTGGCCTCATCCTGTCCGGCCATCTTCAGAAGGCGCGCTGTCAGCTCCTGATCGCGTCTTTTGCTTGCCTCTTCTTCCATGTGAGGCTGCTTTTGCTGCTTCTTCTCGTAACCGCTCATCGCAATTTCGCCTGTCGGCGGATCGGTACCGGTTTTGATTTGCACCCCGAGCGCCATGGCCAATGCCTCTGACCTTTTGTTGGGAATATCCATGAGGAAATTGTCGTTCGTGCGCTCGGGTTTCTCTATCGGTTTGAAACTGCCCGGCAATGGGTACTGCACCAAACTTGGCACCTGCTTCTTCTCGTTCTCCTCGTCGGAGGCGTTATCCTCGTAATCGAGCGCGTTGTAATCAACGTCCTTCGATTTAAAGTTGTCAGAGGTCTTGTTGTTGTCGCGCTGTTCGCTGGTGCTGCGACTACGATTGCCCTTGTAAGATTCTCTATCGTGAGACCTATCTTTCTTCATCTTCCTCGTGGCCTCCTTCTTCTCGTAATCTGACAACTTGATGACGCGAGCTTCCTCCTTTTTCCAATGCAACGGAGTAACGCTGCGCGAACGGCTCCGAGACGGAGTCCTAAAACGCTGTACGCAAAACATAATCAAGTTAAAATCGAATCAACAATAGAGTTGATGTAATACTCACAAATACGCCCCTTCCTTTAACGACACGCCCGCTCTTCGATTTGGTCTTCGCATTTCTATCACCGCGCCGATTGTATCCTCCTTGTTCCCCCCAATCACGTCGATTGTATCTACCACTTTTGCTGTTTTTGTTGTTATCCCTATCCCTGTATTTATCGTCTGAAAACATCATACGATTATAATAATATTGATGATGAAGAATCGCATTTAATTTACCTTTTCTATTGTCTTTTCGGTCACCGGTTGCCCTCATTAAAAATTTGTTTGTAGGAACATCGGGGATATCCTCCGGGTTGATATTACTTAACGTTACAAGCGGATGCATCTCATCCTCTTTCACCTCTCCCTCTTCGGAGACTACGCAACGCTCCTCTTCGTCCTCTGCACTTTTCTTGCTGAAATCAGACAATTCACAACAATAAATACACAAATTGCAAACGACTTCTACTTCTCCTCCACTCATCAACTGACCTCTTCTTATGTCTCTTCTCTTTCTTCTCCTTTTTGCGCTCCTTCTTCATTTTCTTCTTGTTCCGCTTCTGCTCCTCGTCATCCTCCGAAGATGCCTCGTTTTCCTCATCGCTCTTGGCCTTCTTTTTCTTCTTATCTTTCTTCACTGAAACCAAGTAAAATAAAACAATAAGTTACAAGTTCAATACAAACAAACAAAAAGAAATCAATTCGGTCAGTACCTTTGGTCTGCTTGACGAGTTCCCCGCACTTCGAGATCTTCGCATCCTGCAATGGACGACTGTTGGCATCCACTGGTAATGATTCGACTTGGCGAACAACGTCCACTCCGCCAACAACGCGTCCGAAAACCACGTGAACACTGCAAAACGAAAGCAACAACAGCCTGTTAGCATCGTCTGCACATGCAAAAAAGAGGACGTAACGAGAAAACTTACTTGTCGAGATGAGGGGCCGGTTGCGTTGTACTATAACACAAAATATGACATGATATGATCAGCGAGGTTGAGTCTAGCCGGATCAAGTTGCACCGCTACAGAACAATAAAAGTCAAAGTTCTGTAACACATTCTTACGTCTATTCCAAAACAAAATTTAAATTATATATATATATATGAAGAAAAAAAAAAACTC